CGGCTCCGGCTCCTTCGCCGGCGTCTTCTGCCGACAGGGCTCGTCATGGCTCTGGGAAAGAGGCGTTTGATTAAAAAAATAAATAAATATATATACCTACAGGGAGGCCGGCTGGTGTAACGGACCAGCCTTCCCCGCCCCCCTTTTCGCTGGTGCGACACGTTGCGACGCGCTGACACCTGTCCTTCAAGCGTGTGTGTTGTGTGAGCTGGAGTCGCAGCGTGGAGACGGGTGCGATCCTCCGGGGACCTGCTCCACGGACGGCCGTGTCAGCTGTGGCGGACAGGAGAGTTCTGTCCGGTTGCTGACGGCCGGTTTTCGGATGCGAACAAGGCTCCCGGCTTGAAAAGAAGAAGCAGGAGTGGCATAAATGCCAGTGTGTGTTTATTTCCAAAGCACTGGGCGGGCGGTTTCTGCCCTCTGTGAGGCTCTCCTGCCCTTAAAGCATCCTGCTCTCTCTCCGTCCCAGGATCTCTCTTGTTTTGGTTAACATCAAGGGCTGCCGTGACCTCGTCTGGCCCAGCGCTTCTCCCAGCCTAGCGTCGCTGGGCCAGAAAATGTTTCCGATAGTCAGTTTCACAATTTTCCTGTTGTGACAGGAAGCCCTGTTTTGCGCGGGTAGCGCAGCGTCTGTGAAGAGTCTCCTCGCCTTCCTCCTTTCAGAAACGGCTCTAGATCGGCTGTTTCATCAACGGTGCAGTGATGATGATGATGATGAAGCTGTGTTGCTGTTGCCGGCCTTCGGAGACGCCGATGGGGAGAGTCCAGACTGGTCCGGTCTTGGTGTTTTAATTTTTAGTTGCGGGCCTTGGCTTGGGTGTGTGGATCTGGGGCGTTCTTCAGGGGATCCCAAACAGCCGAGATCTGTTCCACAGCTGAACCCGAAACGTCAGGGTTGATTTGAATTTGTGCCGTTTTTGTGAGGTGGATTTGATGTGTTTTGCGTGATTGTTTTCAGCTCTTAAGCAGGCTGGTCGTTGGATGTTTTAACTGTTGCGTTTCGTGAGTGATGCACAATTCTAGACTCCCGAGCAGAAAATGCATCTCGCAGGTGTGCCGGTCGAGCAACTATTTTTTATTTTATTTGATTTAAGTCTTCGATGAAGCAAACGAGCTTCAGTTTCCATCTGGGATGGAAGCCAGCAGCAGCAGGACTCTGGGGGTCCCTGTCCTGGAGCCCTATGGTTCTGTTTGGCTGTTTGAACCCTCAGCCATCCCCAGAGTTACTCTGACAGGAGCGCTGCTGTTTGAGAGCCGGGCAGGGCGGTGAAGTCGTGGTTTGCCTGGCGCGAGTGGGGCGCCGAAACTGTTTCGGTGCTGAAACGGCCTGGTTCTGTGTGTGGCTCCGGGCCCGGCGCGGGGTGGTGGAGTCCACAGGGAGAGCCGGGCAGCGGCGTGGAGCAGGGGGGGGTCGGGGGTTTCGGGACTGGCACCTGGAGGGTTGCGGGTTCAAATCCCAGGTGTGGCACAGCCCGTTGCGCCCCTGAGCCGGGCGCTTCCCTGCTCCAGTAAAACGCGCAGCTGAGTGTCGGTGTCAGGGGCAGTGTGCTAGTGAAATACCGCACTGAGGGCGCAGACATGGTCTCGCCGTCGCTGGGGTCTTCAGTCGCCGCTGGCGGCTCCTCACACGGGCTGAGCCACAGAGAGAGAAGAGACGAGCGGTGCGGCACCCTGATCGTTTTTTTATTTTATTTATTTGTTAAACGCAAGACGAGTAGCGGAGCGGGGCCCCGCTGCAGGAAGTACCCCCCGGAGCGCTGCTGACCAGCGCAGCTCGACCGCCCTGACCGCACAGGCGCTCTCCGCAGGCCCGTGTGCGCGATGATTCAGCGGTCTGCCTGCAGCACCGCAGCCCGGGGCCTAACGCCGCCCGCACGGCGGCTGTGCCCCAGCCCCGGGGTGGTGGTGGTGGTGGGGGGGGACCTGGAGAGCTAGCGCGGCTCGGTTCGTGTGTGTGCACGCAGAGGCCGGGCGAGGTGCGTGAAACGGGGACCCGGCTGTGGGAAACCAGCTTCCCCGTAGGCCTCAGTCGGAGCCGGGCGCTTGATTTCTGTTGAGTGCGGGGAAAACACAGGCGGCTATCGGGTTACAAAGCCGCGCCGCCAAAAGCCCAGACCGTTGCAGCGCCGGGCTGGAGACGTCCCTGAATAGGAATAAGCAGCCATAAAGGATAGAAGCCCGGTCCGCAGCTGTATTTTTAACCCTTTTAGTCCGCTTGTGTTGTATGTGCCTGTGCTCACCGATCACTATGGCAACGAATAATATATACACGTTGGTCTCAAAAGAAGGCTGAAAATCTCGCTATACACACTTGCTGCTGCTGCTGCTGCTGAAGAGTGTCTGAGCGCAGTAATACCTTGCTCGCAGTGTAGTCTGATCATCGCGGGCCCTATCGCCTGCTCTGCGTGTTGTGTGGCTGAGCAGCTGGACCCAGCTTCTCCAGCTCGTACGCGAGCGTCTGAGTCAGGCCCTGCGCGGTGTGTGAGGCTGAGCTGTGCTGGGCGTGTTGCTGTTGTGACTGTCAGTGTTTTGATGCTCCATGCTCCATGCTCCAGGCTGAGGCTGACCGGCCACTCGTTGGACAGCCGGTCAAGCTCTTCCTGTCTTGGTACGGATCGGACCGAAGAAGCAGGGCGTCCCAGACGCGTGTAACTGTACGTGCAGTGGCGTCGGCTCGGGTTCGCTCGTAGGAAGGTTGGCAGGGGTGGCGCGTTTCCTGGCGCTGGTTGATGTACAGCGGCCTGCAGCTGGCCAGCCCTGCAGCTCTTCCGGGGTCTGATCCGTTTGGCCTCCGGTGGACGTATCGGTGCCGTTCCTTTTAAAAACGGCAAGGCTGTGACTGTCTGTCTGTGTCTCTCTCTCTGCTGCGTGTCCAGCTTGGAAAGATGCGTTTCTTGGTGTTGTCTGGCACAATGGCCGAGTCATCAGAATTGCTGCTGTGGCCTTGGGTTCATTTCTGTACGTGGGGGGCTCTCTACGTGGAGTTTGCATGTTCCCCCTGGGTTCACGGGTTCTTCGGTTTTCTCCGGATGCTCTGGTTTCCTCTGAAAGTCCGAAAACATACTGGTGTGATAACTGTGAAAACTGGCCCTGGTGTGAGGGTGTGTGTCGGTGTGCGTGCCCTGCGATGGACTGGCGTCCCGTCCAGGGGTGTGCCCTGGCTTGCGCCCATTGCTTGCTGGGACAGGCTCTGGCTCCCCCGCGTAGGAGGAAAGGTTTTGAAAGTGGCTGGATGTTCCCCGGTGTTGTGCTGGTGCTCTGGGTGTCCAGACGGCAGCTGCGCTTTCCAAACGTTGTGTGTGGAGCCGCGGCAGTGTCTTCCTGACCTGAACGAGCACAGTCGGCCTTTGGCGTGTCTGCACGTGTCCGAGTGCTGGACTGTCGCTTGAACGCCCCCCCCCCCCCCCGAACCCGTAAGGCTTTCGGTGAGGCCGCTGGAACGGGCCCTTCGCTGGAAGGTGTGTGGGGGCACTCGTTTCCAAGGATTTGTTTCCTGCTGTCGTGCTGGACGGTGGCGCGGGGGCCCTGGGTTCTGTCCGTGTGGAGTTTGTGTGTTCTTCTGGAGACGCCACCAGGAGGGCGCGCCCAAATGGAGCTGGTCCGGACCGCTCCGGCCACCAAACGGGCTCAGAATTGGACATTTTGGATGGAATCCGAAGGCAGACGGGACCTCTGAGGGTATTGAGGTCAAAGCCGTGGGCAGTCCCCGAAGAAGCCGGTTTCCTAGGGCACACGTGCAGCAGGAAATGCAGCGCCTCTTCCTGTTGGCAGGTCAACCCTTCCTGTGCCCTTGGGGTCCCGCCTGGACCAGCGGAACCTGGAATCCTGACTGTCGGCCCCATTTTCATCTCGGTCTTCTTTCTGGGGGTGATTAACGTTTTGGGTTTCGGGGTGCTGCGGGAGAGATTCTTTCCTTTTTTTTTTTTTGCGGGCTGCTGCCACAGCTGCTCCGTCTTGTCCGCCGGCGCGGTGGGTGTAGCGGCGTGTCCGTGCGTGCGCTCCGCGTGCGTACGGGTCGTTCGCCGCTGCCGAGCGTGTCCGCGAGGAGCGGACGGCGGGTTACTGGCTTCGCCGTCTGAGCTGTCCGTCCTCTTCCGCACATCTCCGGTGCTCCGCTCGGTGTCTCGGGGTGTTGAGCCCGAGGGCCAGAGGGAGGGCCGAAGCACTTGGACCTTCAGCTTGATGAGTGACCCCTGTTGATGAAGAGCAGTGAGGTGGCAGTTTCATCTTTAAGAGGAACTTCCATCTCCCCATCCATTTTCTAGCAGCTTCTTCCAGTGCTGGGTCAAAGGGGAGCCGGGGCCAGCAGGCAACAGGAGCAGGGCTGGGTACGTCTGAGACGGGACGCCAGTCCATCGCAGGGCACACGCTCACACCAGGGCCGGTTTTATCAGAAGCCAATTCATATCCCCTCGTTATGTGTTTGGACTGTGGGAGGAAACGTATGTGAGCCCAGAGAGAACGTGCAGACTCCACACGGATAACACCCCAGCTCCAGCCCCAGCGCTGCAAAGTAGCAGTGCTGACCACTGCGCCACCAGTGGAGCCCAGACTGGGAGCTTGTCAGGGAGAGTTGCCCTATGGGAGCCCGGTTTCTGAGAATACAGGGCGAATTTCACAGTAGGCGTGGACTCTTTCGGCCAAGTGGAGCTCTCCTGCTCTGTATTCTGACAGCCTGGGTGCATCAGTTTATTTCCATGCTGTCATGATCTTCTCTGTGTAAAAAAATAAGTTGTCAGTGCCGAATCTAGTGAGCCTAGTCTAAAGAAGGTTCCTCCCCTGCTCGATGACCACAGTTCGCAACGAACTGAGCTCGCTTTCTGTTCACTCTGTCGTGATCCATTCCGGGTCTTCTGGCGAGCCGTAGGATCTTGTGCATGCTGGCCTGCTGACGTGCCTGATGAAGCAGTCTATTTAAATGAACTTCACGAGCTGCCCGGCACTTAATTCACGCACGTTTGTCCTCGTCCTCTATCACTGACTGTCCTTGGCTTTCGGGTTCCCTTTATGTAGCAGGTGGGTCCATTTCCAGCTTTCGTAGGAGGTACAGGCTCTGGTTCTGGTTCTGTGTTGAATGAAGAAGAAAAGTAACTCTACGTGTCTGTCCATACAGATTTACTTAAATTTAGGTAATTTTCATGAAATGTGTAACTGCTGTTGTCTTATATATAGAGGGGTCTTCAACCCATAAATAAACGCAAAACCAGTCCAAGCTGCTGCGCAGTGGGAGTCTGGTCTGTTTTCCTCGTGTGGCACCACTCACTTTAGTGGGCAGGAAACTGGATAACTGCCCACTGGCCTTAGCCTTTAACTGAAATTCCCTCGGTTCCCTTTTAATAATTGGTTCCTTGAGTTGGTTGTCGTCTCTTGTTTCTGAACCGCCGATGGTGTTAAACTTGTGGCAGCCGCGTCTTCCCACAGTGCACTGTGGCAGCGGAAGCTGGCCTCCTGATTCATTGGCGGCTGGCTGGTCTCGCTGTTGTGGTGCTCCTGGGGGTTTGGCAGCCGTCATTGGGTCGTATCGCCTCGTGTTTCATAAAAGATTGGTGAATCGTTCGTGGCAACCCATGATAAATTCACGTATCTGCACACTGTCCGTGCAGTGGAAATCGGCGCAGTACGCTACAGTAAAGTAGCATGCTTCAGTACAGTGCAAATAAAGTTCGGTGCTGTCTGGAACGCATTGGTCGAGTCCAGTACAGTACAGTGTTGTCTGTACAGTGCTATAAAGCAATAGAGTGTGTAACAGTAATGAAGACAGCGGAGTAATGCTGGAGCAGTACCGTGTTCAGAGTATGATGTCTACAGATCAATGCTGGAACCTGCAAGCAGCAAAGTAGATTTCTTCTTGCGGTACATTGCAGCACATCTTAAGAGTGAAGGGTGCTGTACTGTGCTACCACACCCTACAGCACGTTCATCTCTGCACCTATGGTTTTTGGATATTTTGCATGCATTTTGTCGAGGTTTCCAGGACAGCCCGTCTGTTGCAGGGCAAAGGAAGGACTGAAACAGTGTTGGGGAGGGGGAGCAACGCCGAGACAGAGAAGGTAGGAGAGGCAGCTTCAGCAAAAAGGCGAGGAAGGAAGAGTTAAGGAGAGGAAGAGGGAGGGTGAACGAGGCAGATCGAGATGGGGGGGCGGGGTGCCGCTCCTGGCAGGGCCGGCTGTATTGATCTGGCAGGGTGCTCTCCTCCCATCAATCTCCTCTCGGTGCCGGCAGTTTAATTTCATTAAGTGGCTGCGCTCTGCAGATCTGTGTGGTGCTGCGCTGTCCCGCTGGGTCCGGGGCTGTCTGTGTACGTCAGCGTGTCTCTGAGTCTACCGCATGTTTCCGCGTGGCTGTTTCTGCTTGGGCCGTTTGTCATATTGCAGACCCACGATAAATGTGAGCACTGGTGATGAACCGAAAGGGCTGAATGAGTCCTCTGTCGCTGGGAGACTGGGAATGAGATGGCACCTGCTAACTGGGAGCACCAGCATCCGTTTGCTCGGTTGTTTCGAGTGATTGGAGAGACGGTGGCACAGACCGAGGCTCTGTTTCAGTGGTGGCTAGTCCTGGTCCTGGAGAGGCCCAATCCAGCTGGGTTCACAGGTCACCTTTAAATTGACGACTTCTGGAGACCGAACAGCTGCACTGTGGTGACTTAAGTGGTTAATGTTCAGTGCAGCCATTTAGAGGTTGTGTAATTAAAAACCTGCACGTCCTGGAAACCTGGACTCCCTTGACTGGAGTGAGCTTGCTACATTAATTAGCCTGGTTGCTCCGAACCTTTAGAAATGCCCGATTTAAGCGCGTGACCTGCTGGAATAGGGTTCTTGGACCTGGGCTGCGTGCTGTGGAGCAAGTAGCAATATTGATGTGCTGAGGGACTTCCTGTTCATAATGTAGTTCATAAATCAGGCTCACAGGGGCTGCTTGGAGATAATGTCAGCTGTCAGTTTTTAATGGGGGCCAGAATCTGCAGTGGTGACTCCCATCAGCTAAATAACAGGGATATTTGAGATTTTTTTTTACTACATCAAATGTTGGGGGTGAGAGAAAGCAGCACAGCTGTCCCTGTATTATTCCTTCCCCTGGGTGGAGTTCTAGAGGATTGGTGTTTGGGGCTGAAATACTGGGGCTGGCAGGAGGGAGCCCTCTCACAGGGGCGGCAGCATGGAGAGTTTCTCTGGCCCTCTCAACTCCTTCTCTTCTCCCCCGCAGGAGCAGAAAGTAGAAACTAGTGACAATGAAAGTAGACAGAAGCAAGTTAAAGAAGACCCCCACAGAGGCGGTGAGTCTTTGATGTCTTTCACTTTCCCTTTGCACCTCTTTCTCTCCACCTCTTCTACAGCCCCTTTTACTGTCCCTCGCTCTTTGTCTCCGTCCAGTTCGCTTTCTCTCTCGGAATCAAAGGTGGTTTGATTTATTTGAGACTTCTGAGGAGCTGGGCGCCCCTAGCTGTGTTAATTTAGTGTTGACACGGGCTCGGGATGATCAATGTGATGCGAGTGACCTGCCCTGTCTGTTTGCCCGCAGCCTGCGGACTGCAGGACGCTGATAGACAAGCTGAAAGCATGCAGCGACGAGCAGCTTCTGCTGGAACTGCAACAGATAAAGACATGGAACATTGGAAAGGTAGGAGACTGAGACGACTTTGAAAGCTCAAGTACTTGCAGCCCAAGCAAACTCCTCACTTACTCCTTGGTCTTTTCTCCTCTGTCCCAATCTCCTCTCCGATCTCCCTCCCTCTGACCTGTTCTCTTGTTGTGGTTCGTTCCTTCTCACTCCATCTCTCCTGGTCTCCTCCTCCCTGCTCTCGCTGTGTCATCCTCTCCCTTCCTCTCTGCCTCCGTCCCCCTCCTCCTGCTCCTTATCTCCCCCTCCCTCTGCCCATCCTCTGTCCATCCCCCCCCGCCCCTCTCCAGTGTGAGCTGTACCACTGGGTGGACTTGCTGGACCGGTTCGATGGAATCCTGTGCGACGCGGGGCAGACGGTGGAGAACATGTCCTGGATGCTGGTGTGCGACCGGCCGGAGAACGGCCAGCTCAAGAGCCTGCTGCTGGGTGTGCTCAACTTCACCGCGCTGCTCATCGAGTACAGCTTCTCCCGCCACCTCTACAGCTCCATAGAGGTACTGCGCTGTCAGCACGGGGGGATTGAATTCCACTGTTATCTCACAGGGGTCCTCCATTGATGTAGGAACCTCCAGGCCTTGAGTGCTGCGCCCCTTCCTTTAGAGCAGGGGTGCCCAGCTCTGGTTCTCAGTGGCTGCTGCGCGGAAGAGATTTTAATAGGTCTCTTTAAACCTCCAGCTTATTTATTGGGAGCAAAAGAAGGCTTCCACTTGTCCATTGAGGCTAAAGGCTCGAAACGAAAGAGAGCCCGAAACCGTGGCCCTCTGGTCTAGACGTTCCTCTCATGTAGAGCTTGATTAAGGCCTTGATCAAGCAGCCAGTTTTACTTGTGGTTTAGTCAACTAATTTGTTCACTTAATTCGGAGAAGTCATTAAGGTATGAGATGGAATGAAAACCGGGTGTTTGGCGGACGGTTTGGAAGAAGCTCCCCAGCCATGATATTATTCAGGAAATAGAACCCACAGAACGGGCTAGATGAGCCTAATGGCATCTTCTTGTATGTAATGATTCTTGTTCTCTAACTGGCAACAAAGACAGTCATGGAGTTGCCTATCCAGGTCTTAGACTATCACATTGTGATTGTATTTTCGTTAGTTCTGGTGCTGCGTGGGAGTTGCTGCTATTAGTGTCTTTGAGAATGTCCAATATTTTTGTAGAGGTGTTGTTCACACACTTTTAATACGCTGTAATACTGTGAAATAAACTGACGTTTTTTTCTCTCTCTCCTTTCTCATTCCCTTCTCTATCCTGTTACCTCTCCCTTTTCCTTTCTTTTCTGCTGCCACCCCCTCTTTCCCATGGGCCTCTGCAGCACCTGACCACCCTCCTGGCGTCGTGTGACATGCAGGTGGTGCTGGCTGTGCTCAACCTGCTGTACGTCTTCAGCAAGAGGTCCAACTACATCACCCGGCTTGGCTCGGACAAGAGGGCGCCTCTACTGGCCAGACTGCAGCACCTCGCCGAGGTTAGTGTGCGTGACTTTCTGCCTGGGTTCGGGTGTGCTCGTCAGCCTGCTGCTTTTCTTATCCTGTTTTCTCTCTCTATTCCCCCCCCCCCCCCACACACACACACACCTGTGTGTCTGTCCACAGAGCTGGGGAGGCAAGGAGAACGGATTCGGCCTGGCGGAATGCTGCCGGGACCTGCCTATGTCGGTGAGTTCCTGCAGGGTCTTCCCGCAGCCTTCCCATACCTCTGGGGAAAAACCACGTTCCCAGGCCTGAAAAGGCTGAGGTGTGCAGAGAGGAAAAGTTAAAAGAGAGGGAAATGAAAACGCAGGAAGTTTGGGGAGAATGTGGGTAGGGCTGTTGCGAGGTTTGTATTGAGACAGTTGCGTAGGGGTGTGGCACAGAAGGCCGGTGTGCAAAGACAGCTTGTAAAGACTGTTCATATGGATGAGAGTGTCCAGCGGTCAAACATGGGGTCCATGTGTGGTAAACCGCTCGCGAGGGAGAAACGAGGCTTCTCTCGTCGTGTAGTGCTGCTGATCCGGTGCTGATTCTCTCTCCCTTTCGTTCTCTGTGTTAACAGAAGTACCCGCCCAGCGCGACGACGCTCCACTTCGAGTTCTATGCCGAGCCCAGCACAGAGGTCAAGGTGGACAGGAAGGTAGGCAGATGAGTGTTGGGGAGAGAGAGATGTGGGAGAGGAGAGTGTTGGGAAAGGAGAAGAGTGGGAGGAGGAGGGGACAGGGGAGGAAGGAGGAGAAGTCAGAGGCATGGTGGCAGAGGCCGGAGGGAGGGGATGATCAGAAGGTGGAGGAGTAAGAATGAGTGAGTGACCGTTTGTCAGCTTGCCAGACACCCGCATTAACCCTGTGTCCTCTGTTCTCTCTCCCCCAGTCAACCAGTAACACACTACACTACATTCACATTGAACAGCTGGACAAGGTAAGACCACCTCATAGGTGTGGTCATTATTGTTGTGCTTCGTTTCTACCCACGTTTCTCATTGACCCCGGCTATTCTGCCCGTTCCAGATTTCGGAGAGCCCTTCGGAAATCATGGAGTCCCTGACCATGATGTACAGCATCCCCAAGGACAAACAGGTGGGCCGGGCCAGAGACTCTCACCCGCGCAGCTGCTTCGGTGCAAAAACAGAAGTGTCAGGTGCACTAACCCTGCCACCCCCTCTCTCTCTCTCAGATCCTGCTCTTCACACACATTAGACTGGCTCATGGCTTCTCCAACCATAAGAAGAGGCTGCAGGCAGTGCAAGCGAGGCTGCATGCCATCTCCATACTGGGTGAGGCACGGATGCGGGCGGTGGTGTTAAATACTGTTCAGTGTCATGAGCTGTGATTCGGATTCTGCCTGTGGTGCTCACAGCTGCAACCAATATACAACTGTACTAGAGAGAAACTTTATTTTAGATAGCGCCTTTTAATGTAGCCTCTTAAAGCGCTGTACTCCATGACAAAAACAATGATGGGCGATAAAGAAAACAAGGGTTTTGGGTGTGGTGCAAGATGCAAATCAATTAAATAAAAGCCCCACTGAAAGGGAAGGTTTTGAGTTGAGATTTGTCAGATTTGAGGGAAGGTTAGTCTCTGATCCTTGGGGATGGAATTCCAGAGTTTTGGGGGCGTAGCGAGAGAAGGCCCCGTCGCCCACAAACTTTGCCTTCACCATAGTAGTGATAAGTTGTGATTTTTTTTAAAAGTGTTTGATTCCGCTTCAGTCATACCTTTTGTGTGTGTGTGTTGCAGTATACTCCAACGCTCTGCAGGAGTCCGCCAACAGTATCCTGTACAACGGGCTGATTGAGGAGCTGGTGGACGTCCTGCAGATCACAGACAAGCAGCTGGTGGTGAGAAGAGCCTTCTTTCCTTTTCTTGGTCTCGGGCCTCCTCTCGCTTGGCAACCTTTCTGCATTGAGTAGACCCGCGTCTCTCTCGTCCTGGGCTTTGTGTTTCTGCCTCCTCTACGAATCTCTTCCTGTCCGTTTCTTTTCCCATCCCTGTCTGCCTGTCCTTCTCTGTGTGTCTTGAGTTATTTTCTCCTCACCTGCCCGCCCGTGTTTCCAGGACATCAAGGCGGCCTCGCTGCGCACCCTGACGTCCATCGTGCATCTGGAAAGGACGCCCAAACTCAGCAACATCATCGACTGCACAGGAACGGCCTCCTACCACGGGTTCCTGCCCGTGCTGGTCAGGAACTGCATACAGGCCATGATTGGTAGGTTTACCGTACAGGTGCAGAACCCTGGTTACCGAGAATGGGGTTTAACTGGAGGAGCTGGAGCTAGCTGATGGATCAGTCGGGTCCTGGCCTGTTCCAATCATGTGGCCTTCTCCCTCTCTCTCTCTTGCCCAGACCCCATGATGGAACCCTATCCTCATCAGTTTGCCACGGCCCTTTTCTCCTTCCTGTACCACCTGGCCAGCTACGATGCTGGGGGGGAGGCACTGGTCTCCTGCGGCATGATGGAGGCCCTGCTGAAGGTCAGCGAACGAGCACCCCTCTCGGTTTTTTCTGTGTCCCGCCTCAGCGTCCTGGTGCTAGTCGGTGCCTCTCCGGCTTGGTGTGTCCGCCTCTCAGTGTCTCGGCATCCCCTGTCTGTTCCAGGTGATAAAGTTCCTGGGGGACGAGCAGGACCAGATCACCTTCGTGACGCGGGCGGTCAGGGTGGTGGACCTCATCACCAACCTGGACATGGCGGCCTTCCAGTCCCACAGCGGGCTGTCCATCTTCATCTGCAGGCTGGAGGTCAGTGTCCGTCCAGCCTCGCGCCCCGGGTCTGTTAGTTCATTTGTTCACTGTCCCCGGCAGGTGGCCTGCAACGTTTTCAACCGTGAGCTTCAGTTTGCACTGCATCTTGTTAGACACTTTTCCTCGGGAACCGCACAACACTGGTTAATCAGCCTGGAGACTTCTTTATTGTAATACAGAAAGGAGGACAGACAACATTAATAGGTCAACCTGGTCTCTCTCGCCCCCTTTCCTAATGATGTCGACAGGCTTTTATTCTTGAAGATGTGCAAAATTGCCATTTCAAAAACATAGTGGGTTGTTACCATATAAGGTGGGAACAAGGTCAGAAGGTTAGGGGGTGGGGTCACCCTTTGTGCAATTAGCTAAGACCCTGTTCCCTTTCATGTTGCTAAGCCACTTTACACCACCAGGAAGAAACGTAGGTCTGCTCGGAATGCACAAAGTGGTTAAGCAGTTCTTGAGGGCTTAGTTGCTAACTCATGAGATATATATATACAGGTTCCTTCAGTCTCCTGTATGTGGTCGGATGAGATGCAGGCCTGAGCTGCACATAGCTGTGTGTGGCTCCCTCTATGCTGTGGGGTGTGTCTGACCGTGTTCTCTGATGCCCAATAGCATGAGGTGGACCTGTGCCGGAAGGAGTGTCCTTTCGTCATTAAGCCAAAGATCCAGCGGCCCAGCACGGCCACGGAGACAGAGGAGATGGAGACCGATATGGAAGGTCAGTCTCTTTCTGCCAACCCACTTGGTCTGTCCTCCTTCTCCTCCTTCCTGTTCTTCTCAGTGCCCCTTTCTCTTTGCCTTCCTGCTCTCTTCTTTGAGGTCTTCATCACTCACTGTGCCCCATTCTCCCATCTTCCTATCTTTCTAGTCCTGCCTCCTCCTCCTTTTAGTCTTTCCATCTTGCAGCTCTTGCTGCCTGCCTTCTTACACCCGTCTCTTCCTGTCCTAACCTCTCCCATCCCTCTCCATGTTTCTGGCTCTGCTTTCCCCTCTCACTCCACCTCCTCTTCTCCTCTCTCTCTCACTCTTTCTTGCCTTGCTGTTTTTTTTTCCCCAGTTGCTGATGTAGCAATGGAGAGTAGCTCCCCTGGACCCTCCACCTCTGTGGAGCAGAGAGCCGAGACCGAGGCCCGAGCTCAGAGCAGCACTGCCTACACGCCCAGAGCAGGTAAGCACACCGCCGACTCATGCTTAACACAGGGGCCTGTGGCGGGCGGACTTGCTTCACTTACTACTGTGGGCTTCTTGCTCTCTACTGAGCTGTGCTGCCCATTTCAGTTCGTTGCATTAGCACATTTTGCTGTCGTGAGTGTAGAATTGTCTTTTGATTTTTTTATAGCTTATTTAATGATGAAAGGATTCAAAAATACAACATATACAAAGAAAAGGTCCTGGCTTGTGTGTCCTCCCCAGGTGTACAGTGTATCCCTCAGAGAGCTGCCCTGCTTAAGTCCATGTTGAATTTCCTGAAGAAAGCCATCCAGGACCCCGCCTTCTCCGATGGGATCCGGCACGGTACTGTGTTCCTCTCTGTTGGATGCCTGCGGGCAAGATAGTTCTAATTAAGAAGTTTACCCTGGTGAGTTACTACCCTGGTCTTATCACTCTCATCATCCTCCTTCTCTCCCTGTCTGTGCAGTAATGGATGGGTCCCTGCCTACCTCACTGAAACACATCATCAGCAATGCGGAGTACTACGGCCCCTCTCTCTTCCTTCTGGGTGAGTGCTGACTCTGAGCAGGGGATTGCGCAGTGATGGCAGATTCACGGTTTCACTCTCAAACAGTCACGGTCTTAAAACCTGAATTAAAAAGCAGTTGTCGGTCTGTAAATGTCCCTCCCATTCTTTCTCTCTCTCTCTCTCCCAGCGACGGAGGTGGTGACGGTATTTGTGTTCCAGGAGCCCTCTCTCCTGTCCTCCCTGCAGGACAACGGGCTGACTGACGTCATGCTGCACGCACTGCTCATCAAAGACGTGAGTCCACACAGGCGCAGACTCCCCTCCCTCGCTCCCTCTGTCTCTTTCTCTCTTTCCCCCTATCACGCCCGCTCAGCGCTGAGCCCCAAAAACGCCCGGTTTGCGCCCTCCCTTGCTGACAGTCGAACTCGCACTTCACCTCACGGGCCGCTCTCTTGCTCATTGTCACTTGCGCCTTCCCTCTCCCCTCTCGCCTCGTCTGTCTCGCTCACTCTTCCCTTTCCCTGCTCCCTCCCCTCCCTTCCCTTCCCTCCCCCCCCCCCCCCCCTTCACTCCGTTTCCCTCTCTCCCTGTCTCTCACAGTCTCTGTCTCGGCAGGTGCCGGCGACACGGGAGGTGCTGGGCTCCCTGCCCAACGTGTTCAGCGCGCTGTGCCTGAACGCGCGAGGGCTGCAGTCCTTCGTGCAGTGCCAGCCCTTCGAACGGCTCTTCAAGGTGCTGCTGTCGCCCGACTACCTGCCTGCCATGCGCCGGCGGCGCAGCTCCGACCCCCTGGGTGAGCCCTCCTTGCCAGCCGTGGCTCTGCCAGCTGCTCTCCCTCTCTCTCTCCGTGTTAGTGCACAGCCGTGTGCCGGCCGTCCCCTTTTCCTCCCTCTCACCCCTCTGCCACTCTCTCTCCATCTCCTATCTCGCCTCCCTCCCTCCGTCTGTCTGACTCTCTTGCTCCGTCTCGTCCAGGAGACACGGCGTCCAACCTTGGCAGCGCTGTAGACGAGCTGATGAGACACCAGCCCACGCTTAAGACTGATGCCACCACTGCAATCATCAAGGTTGGAGCAAGACAGAGAGGGCGGAGGGTGGGAGAGTGGGAGAAAAAAGACCTGGAATTGTCCTGGAGTGCAATTCCCAGGTGCGGGGGTTCTTGGGTATCAGTACTGACATGTTGAGGGAACTGTGCCGCAGGATGCTGTGCACACACATGGCAAAAATCTTATGCGCTACATGGAAACAAGGGGGAAGTGAGGAAAGTAAGAAATTGGCGGTAGAGATCGGTCACTTTTAGCCCATGGGGCTTATGTTGCTTTCTCTCTTCATGCGTCTTAGCTCCTGGAAGAGATCTGTAACCTGGGTCGCGCCCCGGAGTACATCTGCCAGAAGCCGTCCATCCAGAAAGCCGATGGGTCGGTGTCGGCCCCGCCCCCACGCTCCAGCCACGCCGCCGAGGAGGCGTCCAGCGAGGATGAGGAAGAGGAGGAGCAGCTGCACACCTTCGCCCAGCCCGGGGAGACGGAGAGCAGCCGACAGTAAGGGAGAGAGAGTGGGAGGTCATTGTGTTCATACGTCTTGGTAAAATGGTTGCCAGGTCAGCAGAGTACTCCTCTGCTGCGCCAGTAAGGCTAACCTGAGAGAGAGAAAAAGAGGAACAGTTTACTTTCACACAACACGGGGAGAGAGGAGAGAAACAAGAAGGAAGAAGAGAATTAGTCTTCTGACTGTGGAGGAGTATGATGTTGAGAGCAATGGCAAATAAGAGGGAAGGAGATTAAGCACACAGGAGAAAGGTCAGAACTCCTTATTCCACCAAAGGGTTTTTTGTTTTCTGGTATAATAGACAGTATAGAGGTAAATGCAGTATCCACAGAGCAGAGCAGGGGAATGAATGAATGGCCAAAAAGAACAGAGAACCTGAATAATGTAAAAAGACGTTACAAGACTTCAGTGTCGATGTAAACCTGTGAAACCTGAAGTCTTAACTGATGAGCGAGAACAGAAGGACCAAACGCATAAGACTGAGCACGAAGAAGGAGAGAAAGAAGACAAGGAAAAGAGAGAGAGCAGAACGGGTGGCAGATCTTCAACAGACTGATTGTGACCATGAGGTTCAGTCTCTACGTGGGGTTTCCCTTTAACAGACTAAACTGTGTTGTTGCAGGGTCGTGGGCACAGAGGAGCGGATACCCATCCCACTAATGGACTACATCCTGAATGTGGTAAGTGGAAAGGCATCACTGAGCACGCTGACACTGTGTCAGCGGGGAGACAGATCTGTCTCTGTGTGTGGTGCTTGTGGGGTCACTCCCCATCCACACTCTCCCCTAAAGCATGCCGGTGTTGTGAGTTCCTGTAAACGCAGGGCTGTTGTTCCAGGCGTTCTCACACATATAGGGATTAATTAACAGACATCCTGCTAGATCGCTATCTTCCAGGGAGATGGAAATGTAATATCCCAGAACGAGCCCATTGATAGGAAGTGCTGTCTTTTTAGCCTCCTGGCTGGTGTGTATGTGTTTGAGGTGAAGAAGCAGCTTGTGTGTGTGCTGTGTGTGGAAACGATTCTCTGCAGTAGTGCCAGAGCAGTAATACCCCTGTGTGTGCATGGCTGCTCTCCCCCGACAGATGAAGTTTGTGGAGTCGATCCTGAGCAACAACACGACGGACGATCACTGCCAGGAGTTTGTAAGCCAGAAGGGGCTCCTGCCGCTGGTGTCCATCCTGGGCCTTCCCAACCTGCCAATTGACTTCCCCACCTCCGCCGCCTGCCAGGCTGTGGCTGGAGTTTGCAAGAGCATACTGGTGAGAGACTGGGGCGCGGTGGGGATAGACGGGGAGCGAGGCACTGGGGGTTATGTAATCGGGACTCCCTCTCTTCTCCTTCACCCCCATCCTCCCCTCTGTTGTTCTGCCTCTCCTTGCTCCCGTTTTTTAATTTTCCACTCTCGCCTCCCTGCCCAGACCCTGTCCCACGAGCCGAAGGTGCTGCAGGAGGGGCTGTGCCAGCTGGAGGGGATCCTGTCGTCCCTGGAGCCCCTGCACCGGCCCATCGAGTCCCCCGGGGGCTCCGTCCTGCTGCGGGAGCTGGCGGCCGCGGCGCCGCTGCCCGACCCCACGCTCTCTGCCCACGCCACGCCGCTGCTGCACGCGCTCACGGCCGCGCACGCCTACATCATGATGTTCGTCCACACCTGCCGCGTCGGCCAGGTGAGCAGGAGGCCATGGGTCATGGTGACGCATGGCGTTTGACTCGGGGGGGTCAGAGAGACAAACGGTTATTAAGACCTCAGTTTGTGTGTAAATATACTGTAGCATTCCTGACAAGTTTTCTTTGCTGTGTTTCTAAAACCCTTTTTCTGGACAATATTACCCCCATCTTTCTCTTTGCCTTTGCGCAGTATGTGACTGTCTCCCCTCTCTCTCTCCCTCCCCTGCAGAGTGAGATCAGGGCTATCTCGGTGAACCAGTGGGGCTCCCAGCTGGGCCTCAGTGTGCTCAACAAGCTGAGCCAGCTCTACTGCTCCCTGGTGTGGGAGAGCACTGTGCTGCTGTCCCTCTGCACGCCCAACAGGTGAGGGCAGCGTCTGTAGCTGCTGTTGTCTGTCCTTAAACCTGTACTCCCATCTCTGGTACAACTGTCCTTGCAAAGCTGAAGGAGATGCATTTTGCTGCAACTCAAACAAGATGTTTCACTTTCTTCCTTTTCCATGAAGTTCAGAGTGTGGCATTTCAGGGTGGTGGAGGATACAGTCCTGACTCTTTCTCACTCTCCCTTACTGTTCCTCCATGCTGCCTCCCCCAGCCTGCCCCCGGGCTGCGAGTTTGGCCAGGCGGACATGCAGAAGCTGGTTCCCAAAGAGGACCGGGCGCCGGGGACCGCCACCACGACTACCGCTGGGGCACGGAGGACAGGTGAGGAGGAGCTGGCACGGGTACCCAAAACACGAGTGGACACCCAAGGCACCAGCTACCCCCAGACCCAGGAGCTGTTCTGAGAGCCGCACGATCCCTCTTTCCATCTCTGTCACTCCATTCAGCTTCTCCCCTGTCTTTCATTGTCTTTCTCTCTTCACTCTTATTGAGTGATCATGGAGTAGATGTGGTAAAGAAGTGTGTATATTAATCCCCCACGTTCTCTCTCGGCAGAAGGGGACCCCGAGCCAGGAGCGGCAGTGGGCACCGCGGACCCCTCAGCGCAGGGCCTGCTGGAGGGGATGGGCCTGGACGGCGATGCCCTGGCCCCCATGGAGACGGACGAGCCCAGTGTGGCCGACGCCAAGGGCAAGTCCAAGCTGACCCCTGCCATGGCCGCCCGCATCAAACAGATTAAGCCCCTGCTCTCTGGTAAGACTCTCTGCCCCCCCCTTCTTTCTTTTCCAGCCACCCCTCTTTTTCTGTCTCCCTGCTTCTCTCTCTCTCTCTGGCTCTCTGAGGGTCTCCGTCTCACCTTTTCTCTCTCCACTCCCATCTGAGCGCACTTAGCGTAGAGACTTTCCTCTCTCTGTTTCAACACCGTGGCGGAGTACCAGAGTCCGGACGAAGCCCTTTACCCCTCCCTGCTGTCTTGGTCTGTTTTCCTCCAGCCTCCTCCCGCCTGGGCCGGGCCTTGGCGGAGCTGTTTGGGCTGCTGGTGAAGCTGTGCGTGGGCTCCCCCGTGAGGCAGCGCCGCAGTCACCACGCCGCCAGCGCCAGCACGGCGCCCACGCCCGCCGCCCGGGCCACCGCCTCCTCCCTCACCCGGCTGCTCACCAAGGGCCTGTCCTGGCAGCCGCCGCCTTACACCCCCACCCCGCGATTCAGGTGAGGAGGAAGGGGGGCCAGTCTGGGGCCCCTGCGTGACAAAAGCGCCAGAGCCAGGGGGACAGGGGCTCTGAGTGCAGACAAGCCAGAGGAAGCGAGCGAAAGTGGTACCCTCAGATGCCACATAGTTTGTGTACCCCAGCTTTGAGATGAAGACCCTGAAAGCCAGGGTTAAGGACCTTTAACAGTACTGTTTCCAGTGCACTGGTTCTGAGATCAGCCCTTTTTATGTAGATGGGTACACTCTCTTCAGCTGATTAGCAAGGCCAGCATTACTGCTGCATTAAATCTAAATTTATCATTTGATGTTGCTGTTAAACTGGAAGACTTAAAGGGTGGGCTGTTTAGGTGTTTCTGGCTTATTTACTTGAAGAAGTGGTGCTTCTATGTTGGTAGTGTTGGTACTAGGGAGAGAACACATTCAATGTAACAAGTTAAAATGTCTTGATTTAAAAAAAAAAAGCTTACGTTTTTTTCCCCATCTCCCTGTCCTGCTTTGTTTCACCCCCTCGTTTCAGATTGACGTTCTTTATCTGCTCAGTGGGGTTCACGTCCCCCATGTTGTTTGACGAGAGGAAGTACCCCTATCACCTCATGCTGCAGAAGTTCTTCTGCTCCGGGGGACACGACGCGCTGTTTGAGTGAGCACTCCTTTGACTGTATTGACAGCTGGAACTTTATTGGCTGAATTGCAGGTTGGGACAGGTGGTCACACACTGCGTTGAAGCTCTATTGAGTTTCCTCCCCCAGTAGGACTGGAAGCTGTTCTGGTTCTGGCAGGTGTGGGAATACTAGGATTAGGCAAAAATTAATCCCCAAAATCACAATCCTCATCCCAGAGTATTTCTCACAGTGCAGCAGAAAGCGTGCTCTTGGTTTTTCCCTGCCATAGAGACACTGAGACATTGTGCCTTGCCATTCCCCCACTCCTGTCCTCATTCCCGCTTTCCCATCATGCTCCTGTTCATGAAGGCACACTAGACCCTCGCTCTCGTCTCACCCTGCAAGGGCGCCACGGCGTAGGACCGCTTTGATCGAGCACGTCAGTCTCTTGGCACGTTACGTCAGTGGTGGAAATTCAGTGCAGCTGAGCTCAGAGGTGCTGGAGATGTGTGAAACATACTGCCTAGCCATGGTGTTGGTGCTGAATCCTGGGAGGGATCTGACTGGATTCTGGAAATTCCTTAGTTTCCAACAACGGAATGAGCCAGAGCTGCGTTCCCTAACGTCTTTGTATCATTCTCTCTCTCCCCAAACCCCCTCCGTCATTTCCGTGCAGGACCTTTAATTGGGCGCTCTCTATGGGCGGCAAGGTCCCGATATCGGAAGGTCTGGAGCACACCGAGCTGCCGGACGGGACGGGCGAGTTCCTGGACGCCTGGCTGATGCTGGTGGAGAAGATGGTGAACCCCACGACGGTGCTGGACTCGCCCCACGCGCTGCCCGCCAAACTGCCCGGGGCCGCCCCCAACACGCCGCAGTTCAGCGCGCTCCGCTTCCTCATCGTCACCCAGAAGGTCAGTGTGTGCGTGCGTGTGTGGAGGTGTTAAACAAGAGAATAATTACCCACGTCTGTCTGGTTCTCTGACTGTGAGAGCGCAGTCCTATTTCTGTGCCTCCATCTTCCAGACTGTGCACCCCAAGGGACTGTGTTCTCACTGTGATGCTGGAGTGCCGCTTTGTGTGACCTCTTTCCATGACCTCCTTCGCTTCTCTCCCTCTCTCCAGGCGGCCTTCAGCTGCATCCAGAGCCTGTGGAACAGGAAGCCCCTGAAGGTGTATGGCGGGCGCATGGCGGAGTCCATGCTGGCCATCCTGTGTCACATCCTGCGGGGGGAGCCGGCGATCCGCGAGAGGCTGGCCAAGGAGAGGGAGGGGGGCCGCGCCGCTGAGGAGGAGGGCAGCGCCCCACCCGAAGAGGGCAGCGCCCCGAGGAGGGAGCCCCAGGTCAACCAGCAACAGCTGCAGCAGGTACGAGGCAAGAGGGGAGGGCGGGAGGGGGCGTTGCTATGACAGCCTGCGGTTTTGGAGTGTTTAGGTTGCAAGGGGGTAAGGGTGGGTGGTTTGTTACAGTGATTGAGTTTCTTTTCCATCCCTTCCCCTTTTCCCTTCTCTCAGCTGATGGATATGGGATTTACCCGGGAGCATGCGATGGAGGCCCTCCTCAACACCAGCACCATGGAGCAGGCCACCGAGTACCTGCTGACGCACCCTCCCCCACTGCTTGGAGGGGTGGTCAGGGTAAGACACCTGCCATTCACACCCACACCTGCACACTACCACAACAATATTGTCACGCACTGCATTGCGGTACGCTGTTTCACACCGTGCCAGGGCATGTTGTATACACGCCGTTATTCACACCTGAAGAATCGATGAGATGCTGCAGATGCTACATACAACGTAGTGAGTTGTATCTTCACCCTGTGTTTCACTTGACCGCTTGCTGGGATGAACAGATCTTCAACTGAAGGGGTTGGACTGACACAATATGAAGAGCTTCATTAAAACATTTTTGCATACAGGGAATATAATACAAAGCCTGCATCTGACCTGCGCAGAAACACCTCATTTTTGGCATTACATGCGTCTTTGTGAAGGCTGTGCACATGTATTTACATACATCGACAGTATATATAACGTTTATCTGCAGACACCATACACACATGCACACTCACCCACCGTCACTGTACACACATGCTGTGGTGTCTCGCATGTGCTGTGTGGTGATTGCGATGTGTGTGCATGTGTTGCGCAGGACTTGAGCATGTCAGAGGAAGACCAGATGATGAGGGCCATTGCCATGTCTCTGGGCCAGGAGGTCTCCATGGAGCAGCGCTCCGACTCTCCAGAGGTAATACATCCCCACGCACCGGCACCTACCGCACACACAGGGCCACACACAGCCGCACACACAGGGCCACACACAGCCGCACACACAGGGCCACACACCGGCACCTACCACACACACAGGGCCACACACAGCCGCACACACAGGGCCACGCACCGGCACCTACCGCACACACAGGGCCACGCACCGGCACCTACCGCACACACAGGGCCACGCACCGGCACCTACCGCACACACAGGGCCACGCACACCGCACACACAGGGCCACGCACACCGCACACACAGGGCCACGCACACCGCACACACAGGGCCACGCACCGGCACCTACCGCACACACAGGGCCACGCACCCGCACACACACCGCACGCGCAGGGCCACGCACCCGCACACACACCGCACGCGCAGGGCCACACGCACCCGCACACACACCGCACGCGCAGGGCCACACACGCCGGCACCTGCTACGCACACCCACAGACAGGGCCACACACAGGGTCAGCTGCACGTGGTCGCACACTACCACACACACCGGCGCCTATTGCATGCGTTTGTCAATAAACCTTTTTCCCCCTCTCTCTGTTGTCCCTTGTCTGTTACTCTTTTGACTCTCCTTCTCTTCTCCTCCATCTTCTTCTTTCTCGCCTTCCCCTTTCCCTTCTCTCTCTCAATATTTCTCCAATAACGTTTCCTCTCTGCCCTTGCTTGCCTGTCTCTCTCTCCACGGC